ACTCAGAAAATCGCCCTGGAAGATACCCCTTCTTATCCTTATGTGGTTCTCTGCAGCCATCATCCGCTCGCCTAGATAAAAGAATCGTACTCCAGTGACCCACCACACACTGCCCGAGGAAGTCTCTAACTGTACAGTAAACCTTGTACAGCTCAAGGACCCTCTTCAGCTATGTACGAGGCTCTGAGCCGAATGCCTTTTTATAGTCTATCCAGGTGGCGGAGAGGTTCCGACGGTTGCGTATAACCACCTTCCCAATGACTACGTCAATGAGGAGTGGTTCCTTGGTTTCACGACCACCGCCCCAACATCTATGGGGCGAGCATAGCGTGACACACTACGAACTCCTTTAGCCAGTACTGATGCAGCTCGTCGAGCCCCGGACTTTTCTAGTTCGAGTCCCTTCGGACTATCGCTTTGGTTTACGGGCACTGACTACAGGCCGCGCCAGAATTCGACAGTGTCGGTCTGATTCGGTGCTTGGCTCGTGGCTCTTTGGTTTGGCTCTATAAATCATTGGTTGCTCCAATGATTTAAAGAGCCTCTTCTAATCGCTCTGGAAGAGACAATTCTGGTTGAACTGTATCGACCTTTCGGTATATCGCCGAATCGCTATCCCCAAGCAGTGATTCTCTGCTTCAGGTCATCTATGTGCTTCGTCAGGTTTTGCGTAGTAGTATCCGGCTGGTACAAACTTATACTTGTCGCAGGAAAACGCCATCCTGACGGTGCGCACAATTCTTGGTCTATTATTACCCGAGCTGAAGCTTGGCAGTCTATCGATGAGGGCTCTTGTCTTTGTCATACGGTCCTAAATTCTTTTTCTCCAGCCTGGGATGGCGCCACTTTGTCTAGTAGCACGTCCCAGTGCGGCGCCAAAAAGAATTGAGTCCATCTTGCACAGGTCCCGGCTGGCTTCCGAATAGGTCATAGGTCAGGGTTGAGAGCCCTCAATACAGCCCAATTCCGCTTGTTTAAGATTATGCGTGGACGTCACGGTCGATTTTCGAGAGGCGTAATGCGCGTTTCCAAAATAGTTTAATTCTGTCGATTTTGATTTCCTTATAAGTATCCTTAAGTCGATTAATGTGTCTAGATCTGTTATTCTATGGTTTGACTCCTATCTTCGAGATCGTTCTCAATGTGTTCGTTCAGGTGAAATATACTCCCAATGGTATAATGTAACTGCGGGTGTACCACAAGGTGGAGTCCTATCTCCTCTGCTTTTTGCCGTTTTTATTAATTGTATCACTAAGGTCATATCATCTAATTACCACCTCTTTGCTGACGATTTGCAGTTATATCGTAATTTTGTGGCATCTGAAGCTAAATTGGCGATTGAAGCTATGAATGATGACTTAAATAAGATTAGCGAATGGTCAAGATCTTTTGGTCTCATAATAAACCCAAATAAATCCCAAGCCTTGATAATAGGCAAAAGATATGCGCGTGGATTGCTTGATTTCTCCTCTCTCCAAACTCTACGAATTGATGGTACCACTATTCCCTACTCAGATACTGCCAAGAACCTAGGCGTTATTTTTGACTGCAATCTGACTTGGGGCGCTCATATTACGGATGTAAGTAGGAAAATATTTCGTGCCTTTCATTCTCTAAAGCGTCTTCAAAGTTTTCTACCCTTGTCTACTAAGATATCCGTAGTCCAGACTCTTATATTACCAATTTTAGATTACGCTGATGTATGTTATCTGGACGCTGCAGAGGAGCAAATTAATAAACTTGAGCGCTTGCAAAATTTATGTATTCGATACATTTTCGGCTTAAAGAAGTTCGATCACGTTTCTGTTTATCGCAAGCAGCTTAAATGGCTCCCAATCCGCCTTCGCCGGAACACTCGTATCCTCTGTCTTCTGTTCAATACTCTACATAATCCTTCTATTCCGCTATATCTAAAAAATCGTTTTACTTTTGTTCATTCTCCAGATGTACCATGTAGGTCAAATAGTAGAACATTGTTAAGATTTCCGTCTTTCAATACCATGCTCTATTCTCATTCTTTTTCTGTTAACGCAGTACGATTGTGGAATTCACTTCCCTTTAGGATTCGTGATGCTAAATCGGTGTCTATGTTTAAAAGACTTGTTAAAGAGCACTATCACTCACTCCATAATTACTAAATCGTAATGTGTTGTAACATTAAAATATATATTGAATTATATATATATTTTTTTATAATATATAATATTTATTTATATATGTATATACGTATATATATAAGTTTGTATATATTCGTATAGTATATGTATATTTATGCAAGTGCACACTTTGACTACCTCTATTTCCTTCAACTATCCTTCAATAGGCCTGCTGGAAGAAATTTCATCATGGAATAAGCAGTGCCTTTGTACATAATTATGTTTTTACCATTTTCTTATCAAATTATGTGTGTACATAAACTGTTAAATAAATAAATAAATAGCCTACCAATATGATTCTCATTTGCTCTAGTTTGTAGGAGACTATTTCATCATCGTCTGAATCAACTACAACTGAAATATACACAGCGGCATCCACGTGTGCAGAGTTGTTACTCTTCAGTTAGTGGTGCCACATTACAAGCTGTAGCATTTTCATCCGATGAGGGAACAGCCTCACGTCGTAGTCGTTCGAGTTTGGCGTCACCAAATATGTTGGAGCGCAGGATGTACCGAACTTGATCTGCAAGGTTTTTCTCCATTACATGAACAGACGGCTCCAGCTCTGCGGAAAACGGATGCATCCGAGCCCCATACGCTAACATTCCAGCTTTTTCCCCTTTTGCCCTAAAATACGCTCGCAATGCGTTTGCGTTCATCGTTTGGGTCCAACGTATGCGATATATTTTACTTGCGGCGGGTGCCGCTTGCTGAGTACGAGAAGACTCAGCCAACACTAAGCCCTCTAGTGGGCATGATGGATGCGGGCGGCTGCTAAGTGGTCTTGCAGCCTCCCGCGCTCGACTGGCGACCCGCATGCTGTTACGTCCAGCTCTATACACGCCTTGGCGACCTCCAGCAGACCTTCGGCAGCGGCTCTTTGCGCACTCTTTTTTATTATTATTATTATTATTCTATTACCGAGCCACGGTCGGTGAAATACCGCCAACTTCTCACTTCAGGTTGGTACTAAGAATTACTGGACAGAAAAACTCAATAACGGAATCGGGAGTCGAAACCACATGTTTAGCTGTAGTGCTTACGATCACTGGACCAACCAAATTGCCTGCTGCGACATGACCATTTTTTTTAAATTTATGCTAACGATAATAATACGTAATCCTCTTCTTTGCTTAATTAAAGTCGTTTTGTAGGGTAATGCAATTTGCGTATTTTATGCAGGTAGGTCATATCAATTGATTTATTAGATATAGTTTTTTAGTCATATTTACGACATATAAGTAACGAATACTATATACGAATGAGCCGTGATAGCTCAGATGGTTAGCGCTCGTTGTGAGTTTCACACTACGTGTGGAACCCGGGTTCGTTTCCCGCTAGCACCAATGAAATTGTTAATTGCAATTTCAATTGCTGATTTACCACGTGCTCGGCGGTGAAGGAAAACATCGTGAGGAAATCTGGATGTCTGAGAAATAAGAAAAAAATATTTCAAAGACACGTGAAGTTCGCGAACACGCATTGTGGCAGCACTACGGACATTTCCTTGCCCTAAAACCGGTAGATAGAGTAGGTCTATGCCCAGCAGTGGCAGCGTATATAGAATAGGTTGTAACTTTAAATTTAACTTTAACTAAATACGAATACTAAAGCTAATATGTCTAATAATTTAGTATCAGTCCTATGCCTTAGAAAGCACGTAAAACCGTTGATTCTGCGCCTGATCTCTCTCCGGTCGTGTAAGATTTTCATCCTATCGGTTTGACCTACACTCGTGCACTATAATCTTGTCCTGCACAGATGGATAGTTTCCGTTGAGACTGAACGCTGTGAGCATAATTTTCTTTGCAGGACATGATCATTTAGTAGGTATCAATTTTGACGGTTGATTTTTGAACTTTATGCAACAAAAAATATGCCCCGAATAATTATTTTATATCTATGTATAGTATAATCGTATGCACATCGCATGGGCTTATCTTCATATCGCGTCGTGAGTTGGGCAGCACTAAGTGTTGTTTTGCTTTTTATCAATGACGAATAGCAAATAATCTCGTAATACTGAAAACAAACAGTGCGATTGTCATTTACACATGACCCTTGTTTATTACATTCGGATATCATTTTCACATTTCATATTGACAATTTAACTGTCGGTTTTCTGGTGTTTAGGATATTGCGTTAAAATCTACAGATTGTAACGATCTTTATTAACTTTAATTTATTATCTGCTAGCGGCTTCGCACTGGTGACTTCTGGATCTCGACAATATCGCCACCTACCGGGTCAAATTGTGAATTTAAATTATCCAGGGACCCATTCGAATACACACAAAAAATTTCATTCAAATAGGTCCAGCCATTTTGGAGCTTTTTTTTTATGAGACTAACGGAGAGCAGTTGGTTTTTATATATAGATATATAGATATATAACAGAAGATTACTGCACAGATAGTTTTAAACTCCGACAAAAACAGAGGGGTGTTATATGTTTGTAGTGTGTGTCTGTGTATCTGTGTGTGTATATCTGTGGCATCATAGCTCCTGAGCGGATGAACCGATTTTGATTAAGTTTTCTTCGTTTGAAATGAGTCTTAATCGAGAATGTTCTTATATATGTTTCAAGAAACATTTTTACAACGCCATTAGACGGTCATTTACTCGATATATTTATGGTAAAGTACAATTAACAGCGTGACCACGGGTGCTGTAAAGTACCCTAAACGTCGGGAATTAAAAAATAAATTAACGCGATAAAATCCGTAAAAATTAGTTTCATTTAATGAACAGCTCTTACAAGATAACTATGTGAAAACTTTTCTAACATAATATTATATGTAGTATGATTATTTGAAAATTTAATTTTGTATAAATTTGTCCGCAGGGGGATCGCCTAGCCCTAACCCAGCGTACGTCCCCACGACTAGTTTCTCGCCTACGCGGCGACACGAGGCAGTCACGTCTTCGGACACCGCTGGAACACGCTTCCCATTTTGGCCTGACGGTAAATGAAAATTGTGTATGGAAATGTTTTCTTTTTGTAAGGAATTACGTTTATTGGACAATACCACTGGATGTTGCACATATGCTGCATATGAACAAAATCTGTATGGGTAATAATTTTTTGCTTGTTTGTTTAATAAAAAGCTGCGGTTCCCAAACTTCCTGCTAAGTGTGGCAACTATGGCCAAATATCCCCATAAGTTCATCAGTGGACTTCTGAAAGGCCGAAATGAATAAATGAAAAGTTTGTTAACAAAACTAGTTGACAATCTAACGTCCTAAGACAAAAAAAAACGCTACGTATATTTTTTGACGCCTTAGCCTTATTGCCAGCAAAATATAGATTAAGTGTGACATAACGGGTAATAAATGGGATTCAAAAATAAAAATAAGATTTTAATCGATATTTAAGAATTACTTTTTGCTTGAAAAAAACCTCACTTTTTTTCTAGTTGGTGTCAAAGAAGAAGCATCATCGAGTCTTATGTCAAACGGGGCACCATATTCAAAGTGTTTTATGTAATTTATAATAACATATGGGAGCACAAGACTAGACTATCCATTGTATTCTGCACTCGTGTGAAATCTAAGACGATAGAATGGAACTTGCAACATGTAATATAAAGTTGTTGTTAGTCGTCAGTGTATAAAATTTATTAAGTTAAGTAAGTGTGCATTTTAATTGTGCTAGGTACTTCTCTTATAATGTAAACGCAATTTTTATAATATTATGTAGCGAAAATAAATATGATGCGATACAACTGGCGGAATTGTTAAATCATATTCCCACCGATGGAAACGAACTTTATATAGAGGGGCATTAATTAATCGTCACTCGGACTAATGCTTTCAAATTAATTATCATTAGGGCTAATGCTAGCTAATGCTCCCAACCGATCTCGGGCTTATTTGGCTGAAATTTTGTAACCAGCAACCAGGGAACCAAGATGAATTCCGGAATAAAAATTCCAATAATAATTACGAATTCGGGTTTTGAAATTTGTAGCTAATTAATTTTAGGTTTTATTTAATTGTAAATATTTTAGATAAATTAGACCAGACGTAAAATACCAAGAGTGGCGACGGGGAGCAATTTCAAAGGTCGCACCTTCGAGGACGTCTGGTACCGTGAGTAATCCACCTGTCAAGTATGACAACTAAGGCAAATCCTTCTTACAACGAAAGAGGCCCATGTATAGTAGATAAAATATTTTATATAAAAGTTAAAATACCCTAAGCTTAAAAATGAAACGCCATCCTACCTAGTTATTTAAAAGTTAGTGTCAAAATAATATAATTTAAGTAGATTAACTACACATTATGGTTACATGACAATAAAATTTGTTTGTATCTGTGTCCTCGATGTTAAATTAAGACATGTTTTGTAACGAAAATATATTTGAAAATATTATAATATGTGATGTGATTTATTTTGTTGTTTACACGAATTCTTTATACTTCGTTTTTATTATGTTAAACGGCTTCCATTTATGTGTAGAGATTTGATCAGTAGAGTTGATATTTCATTTAAATTTTTATCTGTACAAAGCATTGTATATTTAGTTATAGTTTTAGTTACGTAACCAGTTTTATGAATATTTTATTTGTTTATGTCACACTTCGGTTTATGATTTTCTTCTTGATGTTAATATCTACGTACTAAAGACCATATCATTCGATTGAATTTGTCGTTTTACTGCCTTTACGGATATCTCATTCCAGTGTCTGCCTCTAGAAGATAACATTGGGCTTACTTTTTTAAATGAATATGATTTATCATGTTTTTAGCCCTTAAAAATGAAAAAGCATTGCCCAACATTACATGTTCCCTTATGTTGCTTGGCAAATATAGCTTTCGTATTTGGCTCAGCAGAAAAACTTTTCTTTTTCATTGTCATATAGGCTGTAATAATGGCGGATAAAAAATTCGATTAGATAATTAAATATTTGTCTAGAAATATATACATCTTACTTACAAGGTACTACTTACAAGTACTTGCTCGACTTTACCTTGTGTTCAACTTTACCACTATACACACTTTCCACGGAATCTAAAAGTAAAAAAAAAATATTCACAGCATCTATTTTATTATAATTTATTTTATAAAATCAGCTATAGAATAACATTAAAAACAAGTATATATTTACATGCATTGTTGTCAGTTTCACTCAATTTTACTATCTACATTTTATGCAAAATACACAAAAGTGACACAAATGCTACACGGATAGGTTCACAGGTGAAGAAAAATCCAGTATATCAATAACATTGCCACATTCGTCTTTTGGTAATTTTAATTTCTTTAAAGACATTTATGAATTTTATTAACATCAAAGCAGATCTGGGTTTACTCTTCTTATTGATAAATATAAGTTAAATATATAAATATTGGTAAGGTCAAATACGTTACGTTACACAAGAATGAAGCTCTAAAAATATATTCTTATTTATTTTATGACAATTTACATTGTAAGGAAAAGTCTACTTTCATTAACATGTGATTATGACCATTTTCCACGAATAGCTTAATAATCATAATATACTTAGGTAATACAATACAGTCGTATATTTCACTGAAGTTGAATTGTATGAAATATCATATATTTTAAAGCGTCAAACAAAAATAATAACTACTCAAGATTAATTACACAGTATGTTTTTAAGTGGGATTTTATGTGAACATTCGAAAGCATGGAGTAAAATTGTCTTACGGGAAACCTTTAGGTCTTTTTTGTGAAAATGATCTCAGCATTGACTTTTTTGATCAAGAGTATGTAGATTTTCTTATAGGAGATGGCGCAAACGAGCATACGGCTCACCTGATGGTAAGTGATAACCGCCGCCCATGAACAACTGCAACACCAAGGCAATTACAGGTGCGTTGCTGGCCTTTTAAAACGGAGTTATCGATCGGTAAAAACGCCGGTGGTAAATTATTCCACAGGGAAGTCGTACGCGGAAGAAAACTAGTGAAACGTACAGTGGTGGACCGCCAAGCATTAAGATGTTGAGGATGGTGTTGGGAGTTTTTCCGCGTAGTGCGTTCGTGAAATTTGGCGGCTGGGATCAATCCGAACAATTCATCAGAGCACTTCCCGTGGCAAATGCGAAAGAAAATGCAAAGGGATGCAACATATCTTCGAAGCGCCAATCGGAAAGGACTCGGTCATCGACGATTCGTGCCGCTCCGCACTGGATGCTTTCAAGTAGAAGGAGCTAGCACTGAGGAGCCCCAGCCCAGATATGGGAACAGTATTCCATGTGAGACCGAACCTACGGCTTGTAAAGTTGCAGGTGTGCCGGCATGAAATACTGTCCCACTCTGCTGAGCACGCCAAGATTTTTAGAGGCCCATTTGGCCTTCTCTTCTAAACGACCACGAAACTGCACTTCACTCGATATGTCGACGCCGAGGATTCCGATACTGGCTGAGGCAACAAGGGGAGTGTCTTGAAACTGAGGAGATACGATAAAGGGGATCTTTTCAGCGGTAAACGCGCAAACTTGTGTCTTCTGAGGATTAAACTGGATTCGATTTAGTCACCCTCAATCCGAGACTTGGTTCAGCAAAGACTCGACTTCAGACACAAGTTTATTCCGGTACTCGGCGACGTTTTCCCGAGAAATATTGGCACGACCGGTGAATAGAGCATCACCAGTGCAATCATCCGCATAGCAATGAATGTTATCGCTTCGCAACATATCATTGATATGCAAAAGAAACAGCCTTGTGGAACACCAACATTAATAGGCTTTTAGTCGGAGCATGCACTAGCTGATCGACCCCGACGAAAACCGTATTGGCGGTCACTAATCACCTGGTGATCCACAAGGTACCGCATGAGCTGGCAGTTTATAATGGATTACATTATTTTGGAGAACATGAAGCCGTCTTCCATGATTTCGGGACTACGCCTAGGGAGTAGGAGTACCGGAAAAGACGCGTTAGAACTGGTGCTAACTCCGGATGGATGGAAAATGAGGGAAAAAAATCGAATGGGCATAACTTTTTCAAATTTTATTAAATGTTGTTTAAGTAATCTGGTATCTTAATAGAAGTAATGTTTCAATAAAATATTCAAATTTGCCTCCATCTTTGACTTAGATTTCCACCTGACGCCTGTGACATCACCCACAGGATGATAGTAGTGGTGGATATTCTTACGTCGCCACAGCACAGCGAATTTAAATTCAATGACTATATAAACTTAAATATAATTAAGTAGCCTAGAAATAAAAGTAATTAAAGTGTTCGCTTAGTGTCCTTTTAACATTTTTAGATGAAGATGTGTGATGGATGTAGTTTAATAATAAATATACGTCTTTTAACTCATGTTCAGTGTTATATCGGGATTCATAAAGTCGACTCTTTAAGTGTTTGTGGTGACGATGGCGTCGCCACGCAGTCGTTGCGTTGCTACCACACCCCTAATATTTTGTACGGTATTTTTCTTATTCCATTGTTGGCCTCTTATATTTTAGTTAGTATATATCTGACCTGTTATAAAAATAATGGAAAATATTGACTTTGCAACGTTTATAAGTTTAGTGGAGAGTAGAGAAGTATTGTGAGGCAAATTTTAGAAACGTTTAAAACAAGCGTAAAACTTTAAAAGTTTGGTTTAAGATCTTCTGCAGTTTGCTTTGTAAAATATATATTTTTTTATAGAATAAGGGTGACAAACGAGCACACAGTCCACCCGATGGTAAGTGGTTGCTGTGGCCCATAGACATCTACATCTATCCTCGTTTGCGAATCAAAATGCAGACGCGCTGTCAGCCGTGAGGACCAAGATAGAATGCCTCTTTTCCAGTAAAATGGGGCTCCGGTTCTCTACACTCACCATACGGAACTACGGAACACAGCAGCATTAAGCTGTTTTACGCTGGTATTCTGTGAGAGCGTGGCCCTTCCCCGGTCGAGCCGACCCATTCGTGCTACAACTATCCTATAAATCTAGCTGCAGCATGGCTCTACCACGTAAAAATCGTATCTAATTATTAGTCGAATGTTTTTATAACTATCCCAAGAGAATTACAAAATCTCATCGTCCTTTCGTATATCGTCATTCAAGTGTAGGTATTCATAATGTTGTTCCCTTTGCATCAAAATGTGTTGAACCAAATAAGCTTCTATTTGATTGCTTACTTTGATTTTGTCAGTATGCAATGCAAATTTTTTTAAGTTTAACTTAACATGCTTATCATGCCTACATGTATGATGTTCGTGGCTAGTAATTTATTACTAAAAATATACAGTGATATGACAAAATAAAGCGGACAGAGCGCGACGGTGCGGTGTCACTTGGTGTCGGCATGGCTGCGGTTCGGCTTAATATCGGGCTATTTTATAAGACCGGATATGGTCGTATAAAATAGTTCCAACGGAATTTGGATATTGTTTATCAAAAACCGTTTCCTTGCAAAAGAAATTTTGTTAATAAATAATATTATTAATATCTAGAATCATCGAGTAATTCCAAATCCTTAATCAACATTTTTTGTTACTTTAATTATTTAAT